GAATTTAGCTTCCTATAATCAATGCACATCCTCCAACCCGTAACTGTCCTAGTGGGTATCAATTCATTATGCTCGTTGATACGTGTGTACCGAGTCTAAAATATATAACCTAATTCACAACTCACCGCAAGGATATGGATCGTCGTAACATTGGGTCGAACACAAGGACCGGTTGCTAAATCCAAATCTAGATCGAGAATAGATCAAAGCAAGCAAGCAAGTGATGGTGGAAATATGTAGAATCAATGGCAAGCAATATAAGAAAGCAAATAAAAACGAGTAACCTATCAAACAAGGATGACTACGGGCGTCAGGATCGTATTCGCGTGTATGGGTATTTACTAAGCATGCCAGAATAACAACATCGTACTTGTATTCGGGAATCATCAAGCAACAAGAATAGAGAATTCACCTCTCGGTCTACTAACTCACTACCTAGAATAACTCGTCAAAATCTCTCGATCTATTCAAGTTAACCCTAGATGCATGAAGAACGCTATCATCAATCCTAAATCGATTAAACCATATCTCTATGTGAATAATACGATTCATTCATCAATCTCGATCCGAAACTAAACCCATATCTCCATGTGATTCAGAATCTCAGAATATTGGCCAAGTGATTAGCAAACACCAATAGAAAAGAAAGCATAGATCGATAAACCGAAACAAGCATAACGTCGAAATACAAGTTAGGGTTCAAACATACCCAAAACACATACGAATCCCTAACCCATAGCCGTGGATCTACTCACGGTTCATAGAAAACAACAAAAAGCTCATAAAGAAAGAGGTAGAAGAGAGGAAAGAAAGTCTCATGCAGATGTGTAGTCTCCACGATCGAATCTTCCTTCTTCTTCCCGAAATCCCGTGAACTTCTATTCTTCTCTCCCCAAAAGCTCTCCAAAAATCTGTATCTAAGTGTTCTCTAAGGGTCTCTCATGTTCTAGGACGTGGCTAGGGCTTTTTTATAACCCTAGGGCGGCTCCCAAGAGTCCTATTCCCTTTCTCTTGCTGATAATCGCGAAACAGGGTTTTAGACTCGATCACCGGCACTCGCAAGAGGCACTCGAATTCGGGATTGGGTGTAAGGGTCGAAGTGAAAGGTGGATGGGATTCGAATTCAATCATCGGCACTCGAATGAGGCACTCGAATTCGAACTCCAACCAAGGAGGGGAATGGTGAAGTGAACAAGTGATGAAAATGAGGCAAAGGTCGGACACACCGAACCTAGAACAGCCGCGGACACACCGTCGAGCTCGGATCGCGTTTGGACACACCAAAGACGTGAGAAAAGATAAACTCAAAGCAATTTCATTCAACAACAAGTCTAAAAATTACAAGAGGGAGTTCGAAATTATATAGAAAGAGAATGGGATCTTAATTGTGCTTAACATGCACAAGAGGAGCCAAAAATGCATTTAATGTGGTGGTTGGAAGGAATATAGCTGTTGGGACTTTGCTTGCAGCTCAAGAAGCTTCCTTTTGCATGTAGGGTTCGGCCATGATGGTGAAGACGTGATGGAGGCCATGTCGGGGTGCGTTGGCCATGTCTTTGTCCCGTATCCCGCTCAAGACTTGATCAACGATGCCATATAGTAGTTGGCGAAGTGCCCGAGTTTTAGCGCGAGTGATTGGTGGCTTGGCCCTAATGTACGCTAGTGGAGCATCCTTCCCGTGATGGTCGTTGTCGAGCTTTGCGGGATCAAGTGATCGTGTAACGTCTTGATCACTTGACGTGTCCAAGGGCTGGTCTTCGGCTGGTTGCTCCGAGGTGTCCATGCTTGCTCCTAGCTCCGTGTGCTCCGCATCCAATTGCGCATCCAAGGGCTTCTGCTCCGGTTCCAGCTCCAAGCGTTCGCGTTCCGGCTCCATGTCCTCATCAGAACGCCAATACTCTTCGTAAAGAAAAAGGACGGGAGTATGCGCTTGTACATCGATTACCGAGGGCTCAACGAGGAAACTATCAAGAATCGGTACCCGTTACCGAGTATTGATGAGTTACTGGGCCAGCTACAAGGAGTCCAATGGTTTTCGAAGATTGACCTACGATCCGGATATCACTAGATCCGGGTTAAGGAGGATGATGTGCAGAAGATGGCATTTCGGACCAGATATGGACACTTCGAGTTCGTGGTTATGCCTTTCGGGCTTACGAACGCGCCTGCGGTTTTCACGTAGCTGATGAACCGTGTGTTCATGGACTACTTGGATGAGTTTGTCATCATCTTCATCGATGACCTCCTCATCTATTTGCTGGATCTGCATACACATAAGGAGCACCTGCGGATGATATTGTGGAGGCTGAGAGAGAACCGACTGTACGCGAAGTTCAGTAAGTACAGCTTCCGGTTACAAGAGATTGAATTCCTCGGACACGTGGTATCGGTCTAGAGCATTCAGGTCGATCCGGCCAAGATCGAGGCCGTCATGGAATGGCAGTCCCCGACTTCTGCGAGGGAAGTCAGGAGCTTCTTGGGATTAGCCGCCTATTACCGACGATTCGTCGAGGAATTCGCCAAGATAGCTCGACCTTTGACAAAGCTGTCAGGAAAAAATGTCAGGTTCGAGTGGATGGCAGAATGCGAGGAGAGCTTCGGAGAGTTGAAGCGGAGATTGACATCAGTGTCGATCCTGGCATTACCACGGCCGGGAATGCTATACGAGGTATACACTGATGCGTCCAAGCACAGACTCGGTTGCATGTTGATGCAGGAAGGACACGTGATCGCTTACGCATAAAGGCAGCTGAAGAAACATGAGGAGAACTACCCGACATAGGATATGGAGTTAGCGGCGGTAGTTCACGCGCTGAAGATCTGGAGATCATATCTGTACGGGAGAAGGTTAAGCTCAACACGGATCACAAGAGCTTGACTTATGTAATATCTCAGAAGGATCTGAATCTGAGACAGCGGAGATGGTTGGAGTTGATTACATATTACGATCTGGAAATAGCCTACCATCCGGGAAAGGCTAATGTAGTGGCCGATGCGCTTAGCAGGAAGAAGATCCTAGCGGTCACACGTGTTGTCACCTCATCTCGCAGCAACGCCGGTGTGTTGACTGCAATGTTGGGACATCTCTCATTGACGCCCGAGGAGTCGACATCGACTCTGATCGAGCACGTGGTCAGGGGACAGCGCGGTGATCCTTTACTCACTCGATACATGGATCACATCGAGGAATATGGCCTTAAGGGCTACCACATCGACGAGCGGGAAGCGTTGCGACTGGGGAATCAACTATGTGTGCCCGATGATCCGGAGCTGAGACAGGAGATTTTATCAGAGGTACATCAGTCGAGGTTAGCGATATATCCGGGGGCGAGCAAGATGTATCAAGGTCTACGACAGTGGTATACTTCGCCAAGGGTCAAGAGGGACGTGGCGGACTACGTAGTGCGATGCCTCACTTGCCAACAGGTGAAGGCGGAGCGACAGATGCCGGGAGGAAAGCTACAACCGCTAGAGATACCCGAGTGGAAGTGGGATTCGATCGCCATGGACTTTGTGGTCGGATTACCGCTCACGCCAAGCAAGAAGAACGCCATTTGGGTAGTCGTGGATTGACTAACCAAATCCGCTCATATCCTCCCCATTCGAGAGGAGTATCCGATTGAGCGGTTGGCGGAGATTTACGTCGATGAGATCGTGCGTCTACATGGGGTTCCGAACGAGATCATTTCGGACAGAGACGCTTGATTCACATTGTTGGGTTTCCTGGGATCTCATGAGCAAATCTAATTCCAAAGAGATCAGTTCTAGGGTTTGCGTAGCGGATGTAAAACAAAAATTTTGTTTTCTTGATGGCTACTCGGGATTCTTCCAAATCCCCATTCACCCTACTCGGGATTCTTGATGCCGTTTGGCTTATGTAATGCATCAGCGACATTTCAGAGATGCATGACTGCTGTATTTTCTAATCTCATTGAGGATGTTATGGAGGTGTTCATGGATGATTTTTCCGTCCATGGGCCCTCATTTCCTGTGTGTCTAATGAATTTGCGTCGAGTGTTGGACAGGTGTGTTGAGGCGAATCTTGTGCTGAATTGGGAGAAGTGTCATTTCATGGTCGAAAAGGGCATTGTGCTAGGCCACAAGATTTAGAACAAGGGGATTGAGGTTGATCGAGCTGAGGTCGAAGTGATAGAGAAGCTGCCGCCTCCACGGAATGTTAAGGGAATCCGGAGTTTTCTGGGACATGTCGGGTTCTACAGGAGGTTCATCAAGGACTTCTCGAAGATTTCAAGACCTTTGACCGAACTGCTTGCAAAGGATGTGCCTTTTGAGTTCACCCATGAGTGTTAGGCCGCCTTTGAGACTCCGAAGAAGGCATTGATCTCTCCGCCCATCATTGATCACTTGCGTGACGAGCTTTAAATTTATACCCGACACACAACTAATCCGCAAGTATACGGATGTCGTAGTACCGGGGTCGAACACAAGGACTTAAGCGGTTAAGCTAGGAATCGACTAAAACTAGGAAAATTGAGAGAATTGTTTTTGTTGGTTTTCGTAAGTTGCAGAAAATTAAAAGAAAGAAAGTAAAATCAAAGACAATCACAATTCAAGAGGAGATAATCGATGGGAAAGGTTATGGGAATCGGGTTTCACCGATCATGCAAGGATGCCGTAAAGGATTATGGACCTAGATCATGCTCGTTCTAAGGTGAGGGATTCGAAGACTAAGGTCGGGTTCGGTTCTCTCAAACCGAAAATCTGCTATCCAAGAGAGCACTCTAGCCATTTTCATGGTCTAGAGTAAAATCCCGAATGCATTAAATTCCTTTGTCATAATCCTAGATTAAATTGAATCGAATTTCTTCGGATTCAATTTCAACCCAATTGATTGAATGCATCAAGAGACCAAGCAATTGCATCACTCAATTCAACAAATCCTAGGTTTCCCTAAACATTCATTCAAGCTAAGCTTGACCGCGGGGTTGTTCACTCGTCTTGAGGATCAGAGAAGCTCATCGAGCTCCTCTCTTTGTCGTGCTCCCCGGGGTTATAAATCATCAGCCTTTGCGCGTTGGTCTTAAACGTATCCCCTCCATAGCCATATAACTATATCGCTCCATGAGGGTAGACATGCTTAATCGTGAAAGGCCTCGACCAACGTGATCTCAACTTGCCTTGAAAGAGATGCTCAATGATGTCTTCAATCTTCAATCCATGGCAAGTCTCCTTGTTCATGAATCGGACTTAATTCAGTTCCAGGTTACGCGGTCAGCCGGACCAGATGTTGGTCCGGCGGACCGGGAGTAAATGAAGCACAGAAACGCGGCGCAAAGTGGTCCTGGTCCGGCTGACCAAACCTGGTCAGCTCCGGACCAGGTCTTCAGTGGGCTAGGCTCGGCGGACCGGGGCAGGCGAGAGGCGGACCAAGGAGGGGCAGAGGTGTTCTGGTCCGGCGGACCTGAGTAGGTCAGCTCCGGACCAGTTGCTCTTCGGATCTGGTCAGCCGTCGGCTCGGAGTCCGCTGGCGGACTGAGGAAACTCGTGGTCCTGGTCCGGCTGACGAGAACTGGTCAGCTCTGTCTGTTCTGCAGAGGTAGACCGTCCGTTCTGACCTGTACACCGTCCGTTCTGACCTGTAGACCGTCCGTTCTGCGTTGTATTCTAGTCTGTCCGTTCCAGGCCTAAAATCTGGGGAATTCTGCTTCTGTCTTCTCCGTTTCATCCCGAAAACCCTCGAGTTCCTGCAATGATCAAAACCTAGTCCCGGA